GAACACTGGTCTGGAGGACTTTAATTCACTTGTTTTGGGTGGAATAGAATTGACATTTGCAAAGTAGGTTAAGAGCTTTGGAGCCCTCATGGACCCAGACTTGCTGTTGGAAAACAGGTTGTTGCAGAAGCTGAGAGTGTCCTCTGTCAGCCGCATCTGGTTGGCCATCTCTCTCCTTTCTTAGGCTCAGCTGATCTGTGCATGCTCACCCATGCTTTTATAATCTCATGGCTGGATTATTGGAATGTGCTGTCCATTGGGCTGTCCTTGAAGGCAACCAAGAACTACAAGTGAATTGGAAAATGGCATTCTTATTACAGGGGCTAGCTGACTGTGAAGAATATGATGAAAAGAAGAAATAGCCACGGAAGAAGTAGAATAAGATGCAGCAGAACATAGTGATTATTGAGCACTGAGAAACTGACAAGATCATCTGATAGTGAGGAATGGAATCTGATGATAATGGAAATTGTATATAAAGAAGCTGCCCCTTCAGGGTGAAAAAAGACTAAAAGTGCCATCTTAAGCAGAGTTAGATACCTGTAAGCCCACTAAAGTCAGTATACTTAATTCTGGTTAACTCCAGAAGAGGTTAAGAATGTTGGAGTTTGTGCTACAAAGTATTCTATGGGAGCAATCACAGGCAGTAATAATGATCAAACATCTGGAAGACTACTGAAGAAGACAAAAAAGGTTTTCCTTGTTAAGCAAAGGTCTTCAAGTCAGAAGAATGCATACAGCTGTGATGAAAGCAAAGTTGAAAGATATCTCAATGAAGTGAGGAATGAAATCAAGCTGTTATATCTTATGAAAATAGTCAAGATGAAAAACAGAACCAACTTGAGGAAATTTGAAAGGAAATGTCACAAACAGATGAGGACGAAAAGATGCCCTCCACCTGTGTTGTGCTTTAATCCTGAATTATTTATAGCTTGCATAGATGTGATGTTGTAGCTGGTACTTTGCATGCTGCTGCAATTTGTACTAGCTAATTTGCAGCTCTGGGCTTCTGTTTAGTGGTCTGGGGAGCAGATGCTGGAAAAAAGGGTGTTTAACACTGTCTTCCTATATCTCCTCCACAATTTGAAAACCTCTCCAATGATTCCATTGGCCCTTGCAGGACAATACATGAGTCTGAATCCCTGGATCCATGTATTTTCTTGCAACAGCCAAGGAATAATGGTGTAAATTAAAATATTTTAAAGCTCTTTGATTATGGAACACTGCCAATACAAATAAATCCACAAACATTAACATCACTAATGACTACTAGGAAAACAAAGCATTTGTTTATAATAATGTATGTGATTTTTGGAGTGATTTAAATGGCTATGGTTGCATTCCAAGCAATGCTCCCTCTAAGCTGTGATGTCTTGTGAGCAAAAATTCTACTTTGTGAGCCACTGGCATTAAGGTTGTGGTAAATTAGTTTGCTCTGCATAAATTAGTTTGCTCTGGAGCCATCCTTCCTGAGCTAAGACAAAAATGTGTGCACCAGAGACTAAAAAACTGTGAGCTAGCTCACACTAACTCAGTTTAGAGGGAACACTGATCCCAAGATAGCTAGCCACCATTTCCTCTTAAAAAAACATTAACTGCTTTTGCAGAGGTGCACATTAATATTGTAACCGTTTATTGCCCCAGTCTTTGAATTCCGAGTTTTCATTTTAAAAAAGTCTCTAGTGCAGGGGTGTCAAACCTAGGGCCTGTGGGCCGGAATAGGCCTTCCCAGGCCTTTAATCTAGCCTGGGAGTGGGGCTGTCTTTTCCACCTGACCATTTTCACTGTTCTTTGTTTGGGCTGCTGGGGAGTATAAAGAGCAGAGGATGGGACTGCCTCTGAGCAGAGAGCTCAGGGTGGGGCTGCCTCAGAGCAGGAAGCAGAGGGCAGGGCTGCCAAACTTCCCAGCCACTGCTCCCAGCCTCCATATTCCTCATCACAGATAGGAGCTGGGGGGAGGTTCCTTCTGCTGGGATCCTTCTGCCACTTTGAGTAGACCTGGAGGTTGGGGGGAGAAGCTTGCAATGCTCAGCCATATCATGTTCTTTCCCTGGTCCTAGGCTCAGACCATCTATATTTGTAGTTTATATTTCTAGGGGGAGGGGAAGGTTTGGGATCAGCCAGGGTTAAAAGTAGAGTTCTGCAAACTCAAGGGACTCCAATTTTGCAGAGAAATACTAGTTTTGACACACACCCCTCCTAATGTGGGGCTGCAATGGAATAGCTGCTATAATATCTTTAATTCTGTTTTTCTGTGTCCTTTATAAAGTTTATGGCCCGTCCTGCCAAAGTCCAATTTATGTCAAATCTGGCCCTCATAACAAACGAGTTCAACACCCCTGCTCTAGTGCCTTTCCTTGTGGAATTATGAGAAGAGACATGTGTGCTTTTTCACTGTTATGAAAAGGATGTGAGCTGAACGAGCAGTTTTTTGCTCATCCCTAGAAGAGGCTGTGTATTGCCAACAGCTTTACACTAGTTTCCAGTTTTCTCCTAGGCACAGTTCAAAGCCCGATGCAATCTGGGATGAAGATAATTTGCATTCAGCATTACCCTGCTTGCCTGCCAGCTAAAGCTGTCATGTGAGGGCCTTTTCTGTGTGCCATGTTCATAAGCCAGGTTGGCAAGCACCAAAGACAGGGCTTTCTCAGTTGTGGCAATGAGGCTGTGGAATTCCCTCCCTGCAGTGGTCTGCCTGTTGCCAAATTTGCATTCTTTGAGGCAGCAGATGAAGAAGCTTTTATTGTCTCTTTATAGTTGGGTTCAGCTACCCATTTCTCTCTCTCTCTCTCTGCTGTGGTTTCAGTGGCTATATAGTGATGTTTCTAGGATATTTAAGCTCTTATCTTGTTTTAATCTGTTGTATTTAAACACTAATGTTCTATCTTCTTGCAGTTTTTAGTTTTCTGAGATCACGTTATGCTTGCATTATATTGTTCTATATTGTAAACTGTGTATAATATAGCTATATACAGAGTTGGTACAGAAGGATTTTAAACAGCCTCTCTTCTGCTGTTATTAGTTTTACAAGGCAAGCTATCAGGAGCATATTTAAAGGGTAGGCAAACTTGAATGCAGTAAAATACTTGAAACTGGTCCATGGGTATAATCTGTTAAACCTTCTCTCACTTACAGTGGTTTTAAGGAGCTTAAGCAATTTGAAACCTGCAGAGCATCTAATGTTGTTTAAGCCTTGCAAAACCACTTGAGTGTCTTTAGCATCTGCAGTTTCACAGCATTCAAAATCAGCTTGTAGCAGAGACCGCTGTACTAGGATAATAAACTCTTCTAATTTAGTCTCCCCCCCCCAAAAAAAAAAAAACATATGAAGAGTCAGCCTTGCTTTCTCTTTTCATCTGGATGCAGGAAAGATTTAAAGTGTTTAAAACAGGAATAATTTCTCGGTATGCATTTGAGAATTTATGATAATTGAGTCCTGTTGAAGTCTGACCTAATGATTTATTTGTCACAATTTTGGTTAAAACACATGTACTAATATGTAACAACATTCAAGAGATTTGAACTAGACAGTACATTCTAAAGATTTTTTTGAAGATAGTAACTCCTGTATTAGTACTCGTTTTTAAATAAGACTAATGCAGTGCTCCAGACTTGATAACAGATTTTTTTTTTGGGGGGGGGAACCTGGAAAATTCAGTTAAATACTGTAGGTTTGTAACTCCTCAGCATATTAATCCAAATATTCTTGTAGGCATTCTGACAGACTAGCTTGTGTTAAGGTGTTTGCATGTGAGTGTATCTGTAGACAAACCAGAAAGAGAACGTCCTAATTGCTCAGCTGAATAAGAAAGCTTGAACTGAGCCCTGACCTGGATAGCCCAGACAAGCTGGATCTCATCAGATCTTGGAAGCTAAGCAGGGCCGGCCCTGGCAAGTACTTGGAAGTGTGACCTCCAAGGAATATCTGGACTGGGACACAGAGGCAGGTAATATCAAAGTCACCTCTCTGAAACATCCTAGCCCCACTAGGGGTCACCAGAAGTCACCATGACTTCCAGGCTTGCAAGCATGCACGCGCACACACACACATACAAACATGTAATTTAGCCTTAAAAATCCCCAACCACAGAGAATCTGGCATCAACCAGAGCTGTAGTGAGGGGGAAATGTGGGGAGGGGGTATATTTAAGCTCTGATAGGGAAGGAAATCAGGCACAATAAGTTGACCATTTTTGGCCTTCCAGGGTTTAAAGCTGTCTGGAATGGGGGAGAGTTCTGGTTGGGGAAATGGCACTTTCCATTAACCACCCTTTCTCAGTACAGTGATGATAGGGCTGCCACACGCCATTTGAGGGGAAAACAAAGAGTTTCCCCCTCAAATGGCGTGGCCCCGCCCAGCGTGTGACGTCACTTCTGGGTGATGCTCCGGCGGCGCGCGCGCGCACTGTTCAAGACGACTCCCGGACCGGCTGGACGCTCCCCCGCCAGTAGGGATTTTACATTTGGCAGCCCTAAGTGATGACAGTCCGTATCACATTCTTCTGTGCCACCTTTTCAAGTCCAAACCGCAACTGGGATTTCCAGTTCCAAAACAGCATTGTCATATTGTAGTTTGGGCTTAAATCAATGGGATAAATTTTACAATCTTAAACCTATTTACTCACAAATAGTGCAGAATTACTTCTGTACATGGACAGCTAGAATTATAGCATGGGGGTGTACATTTATCTGGAAGTTCCACTGAAACAAAAAAGACCAACAAGTAAATAAATTTAGGATCAGCCACTGGGTACATAATCTCCATTTTTTTTAATGGGAATCAGCAATCTCTGTTTATTGCAGTTCATGGTTCAAATGTTCAAAAATGCCCTTACCATTAAAACAGAGGCTGCATCTTTAAGGAAGAAATGTTCTTACATTTGTAATTTTCAGTACTGTTTTTAACAGAGTGAATGAAAACAATAGTTGTTTTACTGATAAAAAAGTTCATCATGACCCGACTCTACCAAATTTGTGACTCCATTTTTTCCCCTTAACAGGTGGAAACTTTCCTGAAGATTTTTCAGTACTATTTACAGTAAAGCCTAAAAAAGGAATCCAGTCCTTTCTTTTATCTGTCTACAATGAACAAGGTATTCAGCAAGTTGGCATTGAGGTAGGCAGGTCACCTGTTTTCCTGTTTGAGGATCAAAAGGGAAAGCCTGCTCCAGAAGATTATCCCCTCTTCAGGACAGTTAACATTGCAGATGGAAAGTAAGTGAAACATAAAATGTAGGTTAATATAGTATTGAATGTGGGAGGCAGGAATAGTGCAGTCAGAAGATCCAGACCAAGGGATTTTGAACTGTGTTCCAGTTTTCAGTAGCAAGATTAGGGATAACCAACAAGCTTTCCTGAAAGGCTGTTTTCCTACTGATGCCAATATCCCCATGCAATGCATAGATGTGGGAGACCCAGTAGCAGACACCCTTAGTTGACAAAAGTAGTCAACAGCATTTTGGTACCCACATGCTTAGTTACATTGTAGCCCATGATGTCACCCCAAGCAAGCACATTTTTAAAAATTGCAGTCATAATAGAGGAGTTGTTGGAAGCCATATAATTTGTATGAAAAAGGATGAAATATCAATATTTTAAATAAATATAATTGACCCATTGTTATGCATTTCTTAAGTTGAAAATATATTTATTTCTGCATGCATATGATAAAACCAAAATGTTTCATAATTTACAACTAATTTGTGCTCTTGTGCTAGGTGGCATCGGGTAGCCATTAGTGTGGAGAAGAAGACTGTTACCATGATTGTGGACTGTAGGAAGAAAACCACAAAACCACTTGACAGGAGTGACAGAAGTATTGTTGACACCAATGGCATCACTGTCTTTGGAACAAGGATTCTTGATGAGGAAGTCTTTGAGGTAAGTATTTTACTTTCAGATATGGGAGGTTTAAACTTTAATGTACTGACAGAGCGCCTGAAGAAAGTTAAAGCAAAAAATGGTAGGAAATCCATTTGAATTGACTTGTACCAGACCACGTGTACAGTTTACAGAAATTGCATTTGACATTTCGAAAACTGTCTAATTTGGAAAAGAATACCTGTTTTTATCTCTGTTCTCTAGAAACAAGAAATTTTATAAATAGTTACTTCATACTACGGTAACTGGAATGAATTTGCAGGAAAGACAGCCTGAAGGATGTATATCTAAATACCAACTGTTTTTTCTGTTTTAGCTATTATTTGTATGATGGCTGTAATCCTTTAATCATGAGACTACTGATTTTAGTGAGAGCCAGTCTACCCATGTGGCAACACCCTCTTCACAGTGTGCACTGCTCTAAGATTTTGCACCAGGCAGACTAGGCTTGAAATGCCACGCACATTTGTTTATGAGTATGCATGCAGGAGATCGAGCTGTTATCAGCCTTACGTCTGAGTCAGCATGTTTAGGGTTTGGCTGCTATTCTAAGCATGTGAAAATAATTCCATTGGGAAGTAGTGAGACTTAGAATAATTATCAATGGCCAATTTAATCATACATTTTATCTCACGTAACCTTCTAATGTGACGTTAAGTTCTATTTACCATTTGGCAAGGTTGCCAAACCACCTTGGGGGTAGGAGGACTGACTCAAAGGTGATTTTGGGTTTTTTTTGTTGTATACCATTTTTCCATTAAGATATGCCTGAGGATGTTCACAATAATAATTCAAAATTGTAAAAACCATTCCATAGCAAAATGAAAACAACATCTAAAATGAAATAAAAAACTATGTACATCAACTGAAACAACTAAAAACAGCATCTCAAAACAGTAGCAATCAATTAAAAACCCAGTGATACTGAAAAACAACAAATGGAGGGGTGGGGGAGCAATCAATTTAAAATGTACTGAAATAAAATACTCTTGGCCTGGCACCAAAAATCATTGAGGATTGGTACCAGGGACAAGGGGGAAGAAAGGCATCCCAGAGCTTTGGGGCAGACACATAAAAGGCCCTATCCTTTGTGACCACTTACATCTGAAGGCAGGTATGAAGAAGGTGCCTAAGATGATAAATGTCGTGTGCTTAAGATGACAAATGTCATGTCTGGACTGAATTATATGGAGCGGGAGGTCATGTAAGTACATAGGTCCCAAGTTATATTCAAAACAGGATGTGTAAGAGAAAGTACAACTCTGTCAGCTGTTTTCAACACTCACTCCTGAACCTCATATTTTTCCTCGTTAGGGTGATATGTGTACCACAGATATGGATATACCTCAGATTTAGACATAAGTATAGGAAGTAAAATGTGTGTGCTTCCTTTCCTCCTACTTGTTCTGAATGTCCTAAACTACTGTTATTTCTAAGTACATTTTGTTATTATTGGGTTGTAAGAATCATCCAAAGCAGACTTGACTGCTGTAAACAATTACTTTATGTCCACAGTCTGGTAAGATACCATATTTGACTATCATGGCTCTCTGGTGGCTGACAGAGAGTTTCTACATCAGTGGCAGCCTCTTGCCTAAAACATTGGCACTACTGTGGAAACTGTGTGTCAAGGAGTCATAATGACCCAACAGCTAGAGTTACATATTCCACAGTGTGGGTAGGTCTTCATATGGAGGCCATTTCCAGTGGTCCACACAATGTTTATAAAATGTGCACTCATACTCTCAAGGAAATGTGTATAAGTTTGAGGTGCTGGTGCTTGTAATTGAGTTCAGAATTGCAGCCTTTGCTCAGTTGGCAAGAAGGGGGCCCAGAGAGATCCCTGTGTATGACTTTGTCTTCTGATGTTTATTTATTTCATAAATCTTTCCAGTAACTAGAGAAGGTTTGGCAAAAGGAAGTATATTTTTCCACTATTTAAAAGCCAGGAAGAAGGATTATACAGAAGACTGAAATACATCTGTTTAGAGAAATGTATATGGGAGACTGAACTCCTTATAGGAGGCATTGCCTAGGAAGATTATTTTAACAGACTGCTGGAGGACATTAATGTTTTCAGGCATCTGATTTTACAAGCCTGTCATTTGCCAATGAAAATATTCCAAGCTCAAAAGAAGGAGTATAAGAATAGATGTGGTGGTAGTTAGTTAATGTTTCTGCTTTATGCAGACTTGATCAGAAAGGCACCAGGAATGTGCAGGTGTCTCCCACTGCGGTGTGCATCCAGGCAAAAAGTACAGCTTGAAGCATTACTATTGCATTAGAACCTGCTTTATATCAGCTCTGTGGATTCTACATTTCGCAAGAAGAGTTGCTATCACAATTTCACCAAAAATTAAATTCAAAAGGAAATGTGGTATTTGTTGCTCTTTGGGCAAAACATCTAAGGAATGCTGAAACTGCCAAAAGAGTCTAGGTTAGACTCTCTGGAGGATTCTCTTGCTAAATTTAAGAGGAATTTAAACTGAAGCCCAAAATGTTTTGTTAAGACTAGTAAATAACAAATAAGTAACCAAAATGATTTCAAAGAAGACAAAATGTAATACAAAAGACACAGTTCTGTTATATAATATATAGTATAAAGATGATACTGGATGAAGACTGTGGATTTCACTCTTCGTTTAGATTATTCTTCCTCAGAAAGCTAAAGACAGGTCAAGCAGTTATTATAACTTACTGAAATTGCAATCATGCAACAACAATTATAAGTGAGGGTTACCTGCATCAATCACTAGGTGTATAGAGAAGCCTCCAAGATAATGAGTACAAATGTCATATCCTATAAAAGAAAGGTGCTCCCATGATATTTTTGTTTGAAAAAGAGTATTTATGAGTTCCATATATTTATAATAAATTCTATTAGGGTGTCCTAATACTCACCAACCTATATACCTAAGTAATCAAAACTGGGCAACTGATCTGAAGCAGAGCGTATTCTTACATGCTTCGTCGTGGGGTATAAAACATCTACATATATCAAGGACAGTAAAGATTTTATCTTTATGTTCAAGTATAATGAGGAAACATCCATGGTCACTAATAGTGCATCTTTGGGTACTGACAGTCCTTTGGTCTTAGAGATAAAATCTTTAGTGTCCTTGATATATGTAGATGTTTTATGGATGAAAGGCTGTAAAAGAGTGTCAACATACTGGGATAGGTGCTCAAAGATAGAGTTTGATCCCACCGGGAGGAGGGTGTCCTAATTTATGAATCTTAGGTAAATGAGGAAAGTCACTAATAAGAAATCCTGCCACTTGTTGATCTATAAAGGGCCTCGTGCACCACAGTTCTGATAATGGTTTTTACCTGATCAGTGGGATCCTTAGGGATTGGTTTATAAAAATCAAAGTCAGAAAGGAGGTTGTGAACCACCAATAAATAGTCCTCAGTGTCCAAAATTACAATAGTACCTCCCTTATCGGCCTCCTTATTAACATGTAATTGTCATTAACGAAAGCTTGTAAGATATCCGACTCCTCACGAGAAAGGTTGTACTTATAATGTGGTCTAGAATTTTCAAGAGACTCAATGTCCCTGAGGACCAAACGTTTAAACACCTGTATATCAGGAGTATTCAAATTAGGAACAAACTGAGATTTTTTTCTTAAAGGGAACTGGTAGCCTATTCTCAGAATCACCAAGTAGTTGTTTAAGTTTGTTTAAGTTAAGTTAATCATATTTGGGGGTGGAAACAAAGCTGAGGGGAAAAATTAAGAGACAAGCTTCTTGCTGAGTCAGTGTTCTGGAAGAGAGATTGATGACTAAACCAGACAAGGAGGCAACTGTTGTAAAAAAATTCTGGTGGCCACATTTTTGGTTCTTCTATATAGACTAGGTCTCCTCGTCACCTGAAGTCGTGGCAGAATCTTCTGTCTCAGTCGTGTCGAAATCTGAGACTTTTCTATAGTCGTCAGCCCATGTAACTCTCTTGTCCAGATTGTCTCTTAAGTAATCCCATTTATAAACCCTATTAGTGGAATAATCTTTCTTGTCTCTCTCATATTCCTTTGTTTTAGTCTCCATGATATTCTTTTCATAAATCCTCAGACCCTCTTCTATTTCTTTTATACATCTATCAAATACATCAGTCACTACTGAACTCTTCATTTTGTCTTCTAAAGACTTAATTTCAGAATCCAATTTTTCTATATCCGAAGTGGCTTGGTCTATAATAAGCAGCATCAGATCGAAAGAGTGTTGTTTAAAATAGCCATCCACAAAATTCCTCATTTTCTAAAAATAAGGTAGGACCTTTTTGACGTCAAAGACCTCTAGGAACAAGGTTAGAGTGACAATAGTCAGTAAGAAAAGAAGCATGAAATGACAACCTAATTTTACGTTTTTGCATATTTTCTAACATCCATTCAGAACCACTGCTATGTGCCAATCCACAAGTATACTTAGGAGCATGAGACAATATCCTATTTTGTCTTCTTTTGAGAAGGCAAATCTATTAACATTCTGCGTCATATCAATAGAGAGTTATATCATCTGATTGGCCTAGCAGGTCTGAGGTCAATCAGGGGCAGGACCTGTTTCCAGATCCGTTTTGGCCTCCTAGTCCACCCCGAGGCACAGTCACAGCGTCTCTCACAGTACTGTGTGTAGGCTTTGACCCTTGCTTGGCACCACCAGAAGCAAAGCCCAAGAGCAGCATGATGTGTGTGGTAGAGTTTTCAACCAGTTCTCAAAATTTGTGAAAATCTAACATTTGACTCTTGTGAGCTGGTATGAGTGCAACACACCACTGTGGATAGGTGATCAGATCAGACATACAGCTTTGGAGTGAATGCAGCTGTTGAACATGATGTGTCTAGACATTTCCTAGAAAGGTTTCACACATTCCTAATCACACAGGTTCTGCAGAGGAGCTTTGGAGGGTACAAAAATAGGTGTGAATAACATATCCCCACCACCACCTTCTCAGTCCTTTAAATCTTACCTCCAGAAGTCACTTATTTTCCTGGCAGTGGTTC